GGCTGCAGCCGCCAACGTCCTGCGGCTGCAGAGGGGGTTAATGTGTGCTCAAGAGACCCCAGGCAGAGCCCGTGCCCCAGCTATAGGGGCAAGCAAGCCCCACCCCGCACAGTCCATGCCCATCTGAGCAAAAGGGAAGAAGGAAAAGTCCCGTGCTTACCCCAACGCAGCATCAGTCTGATCCTGAGTGGAGGGGCAAGAGCCTCCAGCCGGGACCCTCCGGCTTGCATAATGGGGCTAGTGATCCCGAGCCCGTGGGGGGCGAAGGGAAGCCGGTGTCTCTGGGCACGGACGGTGCCATGCTCTGGACGTCTCCAGCACACGAGCCAGGCCGCTCCGTCAGCAGGTCGGCGACGTGGGCGCTGGGAGCGCGACTTAGCCGGGACACCAGCCTGCAGCCCCGGACCAGGGCCCTGCTCCCTGCCTCCCCCTTTCCAGCCCCCTGCTCCCCCGCACCATTACGCATCATTCACTGCAGCGCCAGGCCCGTGGCAGCGAGGAAAGCACCGCGATGCCTCCCCCAGCCCGTGCCCGTCAGCTCGGGACATGCCGAGAGAGTCGCAGAGGCAGAAGAGCCCTGCCAGGTCCCCTTCCCCACGGAGGGCTGAACTGAGCCTCAGCCCCCCGCCAAGGGGTGGGAAGGGGCTCCATGCCCACGCTGCGCAGCTCAGATTAAGGCAGCTGAATAAACACCCTAATTAATTCATTAAGGGTTAATCTCCTGTTCTAGGGAGCGGGCGGCTGCTGCGACTCGATTAACTGCAAGAGGTTTAATCGCCCGCGAAGCCCGTCACGGTGGGTCCCCTGCAAAGCCGTGGAGATTATTCCGAGCCGTGTGGACACGTGCGACTGCCCCAGACCCCCCATCCCATCTGCGTGGGGCAGGGAGGGACGAGGGCAGAGGCTGAGCCAGACCCCTGTGTTTGCAGGCACTGTTAACCCCCTTTGCACACCCGCCCGTGGCTACAGGCACCGAGAACACCCCACAGCCAGTCGCAGGGACAGGCACGGGTGTCGGGGCGCTGCCCATGTCCGGGGGGGAGCTGATCCAAGGCACCGGCCCCTACCCCCGAGTTCAGTGTGACCCCAAGCAGAGAAGCAAGACCCCCTAGCCAGGAACCACTGAGTTTTCTAGTACCAGCAGAAGAATCCATGCAGCCCAGTCACAACCCCACAGCCTTAGCCATGGCCAACATCCCACTGCTTCAGAGGGACGGGGAGAAATCCCGCAGAAGCCAGCAGCATCCAGGAAGGGAGACAACTTCCTTCCTGGCCCCAACTGGCAACCAGCAAAAGCCCTGATGCATGGGCTTGCCAGACACCTTCCCCATGACAAGAGCCATCTTTGTACCTCACCCGGGAACCGCGCACGACCCACGTAACACGCACCGATTGGCATGCCAGACGCCTCTGTCCTGTGAGACCAGCCCTTCCACAAACGTACCCGGTTCAGGCTAAGAGATGTGGGCTCTGCGCTCCCCGTTTTTCTGTGAATTTTAGAAAATGAGGTTTGAAAGGACCTCAGGAGGTCACATCTAGTCCAACCCCCTGCTCCAAGCAGGACCAGCCCCAACTACAGCATCCCAGCCAAGGCTTTGTCTACCCGGGTCTTCAAAACCTTCAAGGATGGAGACTCCACCACCTCTCTGGGGAGCCTGGTCCAGTGCTTCACCGCCCTCCTTGTGAGAAAGTTTTTCCTAGTATCCAACCTCAACTTCCCTTGCTGCAACTTGAGCCCATTGCTCCTTGTCCTGTATCTGCCCCCACTGAGACCAGCCCAGCTCCATCCTCTTTGCAGCCCCTGAAGGGAGGTGAAGGCTGCTATTCAATCCCCCTCGGTCTGCTCTTCTGCAGGCTCAATCAGCCCGGTTCCCTCCTCCTCTCCTCACCAGTCCTGTCCCCCAGCCCCACAACCATTTTCCTTGCCCTCTGCTGGACTCTCTCCAAGACAAGACCGCTCCAGAACTGCCCTCCGCGGAAAGATTTCTAGCTATCAAATCTAAATGGATCCAGAGTCAGTTTGTAGCCACGACCTCATGCCAGCTCTGGTTTTCAGCCTAAAAAGCTCTTCCCCTTCCCCCATATTCACCCCAGAAAGGAACGGGTCAAGAGCGCTCCCAGTTTCCACTTCTAAACCAGAAGCTCCGCTAATCTCCTTTCATAAGGAAAAGGCCTCGCTCCCCTTCGCCGGCGCCGTGGCTCCTCTTTGAGCTCATTCCAGTTTAAGTTCATGTTCTGCACCTGGCGACCAGGCTGGCACGCGGGCCCGAAATGGGGTCTTCCCAGCGCCTGGGACACGGGTGCCTGGCTGGATCGGGGTTGCCAGACCAAAGGGCTGCAGCGCGTCGGAGCCGGCGAGCAGCGCCCGGGCGCGGGCCAGGGTAGGAGCCGAAGGGCGTGGGGGCAAGCGGAGCTGGGTCAGGGTGGTCTCGAGCCCAGTCCGGCCGAGATCGCCGCGCGGTGCGCCTGTCCGAGTAGCTGCTGGTTGGGTCCTCAAATAGCCATCCTCTCGGTCAGTCGGGCTCGGCTTCCCCGGTTCGCTCCCAGTCTGGTGTCACGGTCCAGTCCAGCAAGGCCCCAAGGGGCCCCATTCAATCCTGGTGATCTCCTCCTGGGCTGGTAGCGGGCAGGCGACGGGGGCACCCTCTCGGGCGCACCTCCCTCTCCAGGAATTATTTGCAACAGGGCAGTGCCCCTCGGCCCCGGCTGGGCACCCCCACAAATGTCACGAGACCCCCGTGCAGCTCCGGGTCGAGGCTAAACCGGGGGTCTGATGGCGGGGCGGTGGAGTCAGCGAAGTCACCCACGGAGGGTGGCTGGGCCAGGAGCTGCTTGCCCCTAGTGACAGAGGTCCTAATGATTTCGGCTCGAATGACCTCTCTCTATCCGTGCCCCCCCATGATTTAAATGAAGGACTTCCAGCTCCCCGGCACAGACCTCTGCAGCTGGAGCTAAGGGGGTTACCACCGCCCGGCCAGCAGTAGTAAGCTGTTACCTTTTATTGCATGCGAGCTCGGCAGGTCCGACGCGTGAACTTGCCTGTCCTCCCCTCTCCTGCTTCCACCCTGAGCCCCGAGGTGGAGGTTGCCCACCAGGATGGGGCAAAGCTCCATCCGGTGACTATACATGAATAGAAAACTGCTGATGTCTGCAGAATGACCTTGCCCCAAATGCCCCCCTGTCTGCTCCTGAGGCAGATGAGGGGTGCTCAGGTGACCCCGAGGTGCTTACAGGGTGCAACGGTGCACTGGCCCCCGAAGGCCCTGGATTCGAATCCTGCCGTGCCCAAGACGGTCTGACCAGACCTGCGCTGCTGAGACGTTGCCGGCGGCGCTGGGCAGGACGGTCCCTGAGGACCAAGCTTTCGGGCGGGCTGTGCCTGGGAGCAGGCAGCCCCGGGGTAGGGGCAGACGTCACAGGTCCACCTCTGCTGACGCCTGAGCTGCTCCGGATTCACCCCGGGGGCTGCAGGTAGCACCAGGCTGCACTGCTCCATCCTGGGCCACGGCGCGGCTGGGGGGCAGGCAGCAGCCAAGCCGTCGAGGGCGGATGTCTCATTGCTAAGATGGTGGCGTCCTCTGCACAGCGGGCAGTGGTGTGCATGCACACACTGGCACACACCCACGTGCCAGCACATGTGCACGTGGCTGTGATGAAGCCACCCTGGCGGGGTGTAGGGACCAGGTGAAGAATAACCTCCCCGGATCAGCCGTGCCTGACCCCGCAGCTCCAACCCCGCAGCTCCAGTCCCCCCAGCCTTCCCCCACACGTTTCTCCAGGCCCGAGCTTGGCCTCTCCGTATGGATGGATGCTCGGCGCAGCCTCCCTTGGGCTCGTCTCCCCATGAGCAGGGACCCCTGCAGCAGGTCGCTGCTCCCCTCTGTCCCGTGCAGGGCCGGGTCCGTGCTGGGTGCATCAGGGAGGCCCCCGGGTGCCAGGACCCCCTCCCCACCATGCAGTCAGCACACAGGACCCTGGGCCAGGCGACCCCCTGCCCCCAGCCGGGCAGCCGGAGATGACCCCCACACCTCTGCCAGCCCATGCATGGACCCTTGGCATCACTCCCACCCTCACGCCCTATCCCAAGCGCTGCCTGGGCTGTCAGCATCCCGGGCGCGGTGCATGGAGCCGAAATCCCCACTGCAGCCGTGGTGCAGCAGGGGTGGGGAGGGGGCCCTCCCACTTGCAAGAGCCGCAGCACCTGCCCGCAGGCCCCCAGCCCTGGGGAGAGGACCCAGGGGCCGCTGGCCTCTCCCCAGGGCTGGCAACAAAGGCAGGACTACAGCTCCCAGCGTGCTGGGCTGCGGGGCAGGGAGGGGGCTGGGGCTGGCAGACAAGCAGCATGTTGTGGGGGGGATGTTGCTTTCCCCTCCCTGCTGCATCCGCCGGCCCCCCCCAGCATCCGCCCAGGCAGCATCGCACAGGCCCGCCCAGCGCCCTCTGTTTTCCTCCCTCATTCTCGCGCACACACGCATGCACAGCAGCTGCCGCGCTGCAATGAATGAGGATCCGGAGGGGCAGGCCAGGCGCTGCCAGCCCTGGCCCTGGAGCCCCCGGGGGGTGCTGAGCCCCCGGCTGCCCGCAGTGCCGGGGACCCTGCGGCCGGCCTCCGCCGCGGGGAACTGAAGCCCACCGAGGCGACGCTGCCCTCAGCTTGGGGGGTTTCTCTTTCTCTCTCATTCTCCCCCCCCCCCCTTCTTCTTTTTTTTTCCC